CCAGGTGCAGGACCCTGCACTTGGCCCTGTTGAATTCTCTCTTGTTCCTTGCAGGATGGAGTATGCAGTCAAACCTGTCACATAAATGCTCCCAAGTTCCACCATCCTAAATTTTCACTATGGCAATTCAATAGATAAACACATATATTACAATCTGAAATGAGACAGATCCAAATACTTTTTCTCCACATTTTCTTCAAGCCAAAATCAGAAATGTTTCCTCTTCCTTTTAGCTCTGTCTTCAGAAAAGCATCCTTTGTCCATTGCTCCTGTTCACCGGTGTTTACCGAGAGTCCTCCTGGTTTTAACCAGCATGGGTTGCTGGAAGTGTGATGTTATTAGACACTGCAGTCTGTCTGCCTGACAGTACCACCAGAGATGAACCTGTCAGGAACGTCTCCACCAAAAAATATTGCTCAAAGGGCTTTTTGTCAGATTATTTGACACTTGCTCATGAACTATGACTAACATTGCCTCTTAAAACACTCTGTATGTTTATTTTATAAGCCATATGGCCCAAACTGGCCTAGTGTTGTATAGGTGTGAAAGAAAGTCTGGATATATTTAATTACTTTGGACTTCTGAGCTTTACAGTAAAAAGTTTCCATGGCAATGTAATTACTGTATTGTGTTTTATAAAATTTATCCCTATTTCCCCTGGTTATTTCTAGATTTTTTTTTTCTCTTTCTTTTGAAAAATGATGTTTTCAGGAAGAAAAACCCACCTAAATAATTAGTTCTGCAAAACTATGGTTGTGCATATTATACCTAAAACCAGATTTGAAATATGTGGCTGTTAGGAGCTGAGAGATTTCACCTAAGGGTTTTGCTAATGGATCACTGGAAGCCTGTGAATATGTCTCTTTCTGCTCTTGTGGGAACTTTGCAGAATAGTTAATAGAATCTGAATTAGTAATCCTCACTAATGAGTTAGACCCTTTTCCCTTTGTAGTCCCTTTAACACTTTGTAGCTGTTAAAAGTGGAATGTATACAAAATAGTAGGTAAGAACCTTTCAGATGAATAAAAGATTTAAATATGGCTAGGCTATCAGTTTCCCTTTACAAGAGCTCTCACTCAGTGAAGTGATGACTGTGGTAAGCATGACACATGGTAAGCAAACGTAAATCCTCTCTGAGCACAGTTTCCTTAAATTATTATTTGATTTTATAAAAAATATTTTACTGTGGTTCTGCTGTAGGTTTCTCGAAGAAGTAGTAACCAAATTCCTAGGTGACTGTTCTTGGAAAAGTGATGCAGGAATTGTGCTCGGAGGATGATGCAGCCTGGGTGTTTAAAATACAATGCAGGTCTGCCTTTTGTGTGCCCTTAATCTGAAACCGGGTAATGCGTCAGTATACATTGACTTGTTATTCTGCGGTCTGATAAATAATTGTACGGACTTTTTCTTAGTGATGCATTTTCTTAGGCATTTTGTCTTACAATCAGTGATTAAAATATCATTAGATAACATGTGCATAATCATGATATAAACCATGCAGGGCTTGCAGTTTCTTTCTTCTGACATAAATATTTCATCTGTGAAAAAGATGCAATGTAATACAAAGAAATGACAAAACAAGAACATATCAAGGCATGTACACACAAGCATGCTTCTTAGCTCAATTTAAATGAACCCATGCATAAACCAGGAGAGTCTGAAGATGGCTGTGAGCTCTATCCTGATTTTTTACCTTACAACATACTGAAAAATTATCTGTGATGCTAAAAGGTGGTTATTTTTGGCAACCGATATCAATTTCCTATTCACACAGCAACTGGTGGCAACTAAAAATAATCCTGTTTTAGTACCAGCTAAGAATCTGGTCGCATTTGGCACACAAACAACATGCACAAATAAAATTTAAGATCCCTTGCTCTGCTATTTCATCCGAGCCCCCTCATCAAGCCTCGTTTGCTGCCATTTGAAAGCTATTGAAAAGCCATTAACTGGCAGGACTGCGAGAGCCGCAGTGCAGCAGCACACCTCAGTGCTGGAAGAATGTGGCTGCAAGTGCACACCAATTAAATCTTTCTATTCCTGGGGATGTGGGATTAGGAGCGGTGTCAATCACTTGTGCTACAATAGCACGTGCAGTAGTCATGGTTCAAGACGCACAGAGGTTTATCATAACTCCAGCAGTCGGGTGAGGATGACTTGGAAGCCTCTGCAAGATCCTGGAACAGAAACTACGTTAAATAATGTATTCTGAGGTATACTGGATACCTGAGGAAGGGCTCTAAATAATGCATTTTCTGGGCACGACAGTTGTAGCAGAAGAGAATGCTGAAACCTGTAGCAAGACTACAGCCTGAGATGAAAGAATGTCTCATTACCATTTTATCAAATGCTGTAAGTAACAAAGTGGTTATTTTGATTTTAAAACTGTCTTTTTATTTTCTGAGGTGTGTCTTTTCAATGCATATGCAAAAAGTCGAAGATGCTGCATGATGTCAACGTGGTAGTCGGGAAGGGGAGTTGTTACTTTGCATGTGAATATGCAGGCAGAGCACAGTGTTTCTTTTTCTCCTCTGTTCAGAGGCAACTTCATTGTGTGTGTGATAAAGCCCTCATTCTGAAGTTCATGCTGATCAGCTTTTAAAACTTTTTTGTAAATTAATCACCGAAGAAAATAATATCCAAAAAGAAGAAACGTCATTCATAGCGTTATGTTACAGATGCCTATAAGGACAACCTCGAACGTGGCTTTTACTCTTTACAAGGGTAATACAAACGAGAATAGATTCATAATTAGGAGCACATCTCGGCATCTATTGTAGATCAAACAATGTATCCCCTCCTTATCAGAATATTTAGCTATTTGCTGTGACAGACTTAAAAAATAATAATGAACTTTTAACCTTGAATCCTGCAAGCTGCCTCCTTAAAGACTGAAATTAGGATCTATGCTAAATGTATTGATTCAATGCAGAGCAAATTCCTAGCAGCTTTTTTTTTTTTTTTTTTTTTTTTGCCTATCAAGGCTGCTCGTCTTCCTAGCTGCACATTTTTCGAGCTTTTTGGGTTTGCCTTTTAAAGCATCCAGGGTCTGAGTGGAAATTGCTGGTTTTACATTAGATAAATGAATTATTGTTTAGATACTTATTTTGGACAGCCACTAGTAGCTTGTTAGCCGTGGATATTTTTTACTGCAGGAGTTGGAAAACTTCAGACTTCTGGTGATTATGTCACTGTTTTTACATGACAAATAGCAGATTGCTGTAAAAGGTTTTCTCTTCAGATTGTGGTCTTTGGTGACTTAAGTGTACCAAGGACATTTCTGAAACTATTTTTAAAATACTGTGTTACAGTTAAGAAGCGAGTAATGTGGTTCTTTGATATTTTCATATGAAATTAAGGTGCCCTGGAAGTATTTTGGTAATTCAGGGAAAAATGATTTATGAGGGTTTCCTCTTGTCTGGACTCAATGGGACTTGTGTATGGAACTGCTTTTAGTACTGGTGGGAGTAACAAGCCTAAACTCCCTGCTCATGCAGAGAAGCACAGATTAGTTTTACTGCATAGTTTTAAAGGTGCATTCTAAGAATAAGCCTTTGAGCTTGTCATGAGATTTGATAAATGCAAATGAGGAATTTGTGGCATAATAACTATCCTGAAGATGTCAGAAAAGTATTGTTCAGTCTTTAGTCATTTTGGAATTACTTTCTTAAAGTGAAACTGTAGCGAAGGTATATGGGCGTGTGTGTGTTCAATAGCATATTAAATATGTAACTCTACAATGAAACTATACGTTCCTTAATTGGAAAGAGATGAGGATGACCGTGAGGTTCTCTCATTAAAAAGAAGCGAACGACAACTACTTGGGGTGTTCATTGCATTGGTTAGAGGGCAGGGATGAAGGACTAAAACACAGCAGAGGGAAAGGTGAATGTACAGCATTAGTTTTGGCAATATTATTTGTTTCCTCTTTTCTAACTTTGGAATTTTGTAATTAGTGCTTTCTCACTAAATCAGGGTATTTTACCACATAGCACTTTTCCTTCCAAAGACCGTCCTTTCCAAGACAATGGGTGCTGGCTGGAGCCTGCCAGAAGGGATTTTTACTGCCTGTGCTTCTCCATACAGAACTGGCAAAATGCTTCCATCTCCACCTGTAATTAATGAAGGAGAAACACTTCCCCTGTCATCCTCCCCTGAGCGTTACCATTTGACTTAACATGCCAATAGCGTTGCTGATGTTTGTGTTTGGCAGACAGCTGGGATCAAATATGGGCCAGGGCTGCATGCAGGGTGGCAGCACCAGTGACGTTCTGAGACCTGCTGAGAGCAGCTGAACCTCACAGGGCTTGGGATGTGACTCTTCACACCCCACATTGTTTTTTAATCCATTTCACCAATGATTTCCATATCGGAACGAAAAGACATTGAACCAGAGGAAGTGTGTTTGCAGAGCACTGTCTCTTGGTCTACTTTGGGGAGAGGGGAAGTATCTAAAAGATATAAATTAATGGCACTTTAAAGCTAGTATTTTATGAACTGTAGTGCTATATGCCTGGCTTTTGCATGTGTTTGCACTTTGTTTTTTTAATCTCTGCAGAGATTAAGTGTGGACATCTGAGCTGAGAAGGGCTATAGCTATTCTCCTACGGTGTTAGTACAGTTTTACTAATATTCTTTCATTTTTTCAGTGCACTGCTCCCACTAGGAGGCTGTGAAAATGAGATATACTGTCACCATCTTGTCATAGGATGGTGACAGTAAAGATCCAACCTTGGGAGGTCTCCAGTCCACCCTCCTGCTCTAAGCAGGGGCAGCTGTGTGGTCAGACCAGACTGTCTGGGGCCATGCCCAGTGAGGTCTTTCATCCCAGTAATACACTTGAATAAGGCCTGCTGCAGCCATCACGGTGTCTTCAGCTGGCACCTGCAGCATTTAAAACACAAGCTGTATGCATGTCTGCCTGTTCGAGCAGCTCATGTTGTCACTACTAGTGCCCATCTCCTTTTTGCAGCCAAGTATCGTGGCTGCAGAGAGCTGTCCCTGTCTGTGCTAGTAGCTTCTCCTTGGCAATCAGCTAGCGTAAGCTATTTAGAAGAGAGAACAGTGGTACGTAGGAGAGTACCACATGTTATCTGCCAGCTGCTGGGTACCATTTTATCTCGATGATTTGTGTCACAGACTGTACAAATGAATGTGATTTTGCAAATTAGGCAGCACCTTGCTGCTATCTTCTCTCCCTTGTATATCTAGTTATGACATAAATATCATCATTTACATGTTATGGCTGTGATTTTCCACCTGTGCTCTGGACTTCCTCTGAGCAACCTGCAACGGGAACTAAGAAAAACAGTACTTTAGTCAGGAGGCTTAAATTCATTACTCGAGAGTCTGATTTCCGCTGCAAATGCTGTAGAGGTGCATAAATGCAAACAGAATTAAAACCTTGCTAAGGAGTTATAGTCACGCCAGCTGAAAGTCTGAGCCAAGTGAATTCATCCAAATATTAGGATCATCAAATCTGAACATCAGAGTCTACTTCCATTCTTTCTGGATTATCTGTTTCCAATTCCTTTATCTCCTTTGTATGAATTATGAAACACTGAATTGTGCTTTGTTACAGACCAATGCTTACAGAGATCTGGGATGGAAATACTAATTAGATGTTTATTGGTGAATTTAATTCAGGATTTGAAACAAGAGATAAAAGATATATACTAATTCTCTCCAACATCTAGCCCTTCTTACCTTCAGCATCTGAATATATGGCAAGGATTGTCCATAAAGAAAATTAATTAAAGTAGAAGATGCACTGAAAGATTTGGCCTTTAAATTTTGCTATATACTCCTCAGATATCTTGTAGTCTGTACTGATTTATTCCTTCTTTTTGCTTCCTCCTACTCACAGTATTTAAAAAATCCATATCCTACAGGGGTCTTTCCTTACATTAAAAAAAATTCAGTCCTGACTTTAGTCTGCAATGCCAGAGACCTTAATCATATACTTTGTTTTGAAAGGCCGAAGCCGGCAGTAATGTACTTACAGATGTCATCTTGAGTATTTTTCACACTAGTTCACAGAGTATTTGATAACAAAATTACTGTCATATTTATGAATGAAAGAAGAGTAAATTCTGTGGATTATTGTTATGATTTCCATTTTATTTAATTTTACCCCACTTTTCCATAGCTTGCCATTTCAATGCATTTTCTGTTTCAATAAAATCATTAACCACTAGAACTCTCAACATAGTTGGATGAGCGTTTCACCCGTGGTGGTGTCTGTCCCTTTTCACCATGGTTATGGGACAGACTGCATCGGCATGTTCCAGGATACTGCGGAGGAAAGAGGCATATCATCCCGAACTCTCATTTAGCACTTTAAATTCAGTCTGTGTGCTTTTCCCAAGGGATTCAGCCCTTCTCACATCACCCAGAGTCTTCTGCGGCTCCAGACATGTGCTACAGCGATAGCTCTACCTGAATCTTATACAGCTTGGAAAAGGGTGGGGGAAGATGTGATATGAAACACTGGTTTTAGTTTACAGAGGGTAGGGACTAGAACTTGATTCTCCCATGGATGAAGAGGCAATACTGTGGGTGAAACACGCGATACCTTCGTGTCAGCTTTCTTACTGTGAGACAGCCTGTGAAAATTTCATCTGTGTTTTGATAGAGTGAGTTGCTGTAGCTTAGACTGAATAAGAAGACTAAGAGGAGCCTGAAAAGAAAACTTGGAGACCCCTAGTTGGTCTGCGATACAGGAACCCTTTGCCTCTATGGCAGCACGTGCAGGATGTGTGGTGACCCAAGTAACGGTGACACATAGGTGCCCTGTCACACTGGACAGTTAGTGATGTGAGAGAACTAACAAAGTCTTCAAAGTGTTTTCTCCTTCCCACGAACAGGATTTCTTCTATTCCAGGGTTGGGCAGGAGGTGGTATTCATTTATTTAGTCCATTTTATGGTGTCCCAGAGAATTCTCATGTCCTCTGCCACCGATGAGGAGCTCAAGGCACAAAAAAGTAAAAATTATGCAGGTGGTAGGAAGGAGAGCTGTAAATAGAAGCAGGATGTCTGCACCACTCCTTATTCAACAGCCATCCCTTTAGTTTAGGTTGGTATTTCACGATGGTGTCAGCTAACTCTCGTGTCATGGTTTATTTCTGCAGTAAGAGAGCTAAGTACAACATGGCTGCAGGGAAAACTTCCTTTTCCTCGTACACGCTCGTGACACTGTGACCCATGGCATGAGGTTAAGATTATTACTGAAATGAGATGCCTAGCATGACCGAGAGACCCTGCCTGCTGAAAGTGAGGCTGGGAGGAAGAGGCAGGAGTCATCTTCCCCGGGAGTCCAGAAAGAGCGAGAGGAGCAGCTGCGTGTGACGAG